ACATTCAACCAGAAAGTTATTTATGAGGATTTTTTATAATATTTTTTTTAAAAAATGTTATTTAATTAATTTTAATCTATTATCTCATTAATTTTCATAGTACTTTTTAATAGAAGAATACATCAAGGCTAGAATTGATGCCAGATGTATACCAGCCAGTAATGGAATATTGATGACACATAAAAAATGGTATTGTTTTTTATTTAATTAAAACAATAATAATCTTAGAATATAATAAAATAAAAACAGATATTTTTGTCATAAAATATGTCTCCCCTCCCAAGGGGAAAAAGGGGAGCTGAGGGAGGCGAAAGAGAAAATTTGCCTCCCCTCCCCTAATATTTTTCCAATCAAACAGCTTTCCTCCCTCACCTCTTTCAAAAATTCCCTATCAAACCAAGCAATTTATATTGTTCTAATTAAAAGGGAAATATAAATACTAATCTACATACTTTATATTATTTTGTTATTAGTTCTTGTTCTTCATTCTTATTCTTTTTTCATTGCTCCATGTCTCTTAAATTTAATCTATATGCAACATGAGCTCTTATTGTGTACTGGTAGAGTTAAATCTACTGATATGTACATAATTTTATTAATTTTATTGTTGAGTTGTAAAATTATGATGAGCTGGACATTATATAGGTAAAATGACTAATAATCTTCCCGTCCATTTGCCATGGTTTTCATGTCTTATTCCTTTTTGAAGCTCCATTCATTGTACATTTAAGGATTGTGATTTAATATCTACTTATTTTTATGTATTTTACTCATTTTTTATATAACTTATTATAATTTTAATAAGCTAGTACAAAAAAATAATAGTTTATGTATATGTTAGACACCATGACATTCTTAGTCATATTTAAAAATACAAAGACTAATATTGTAAATATCTGAAATTTAAGTGACTTGGAGTAGTGAAAAAAAATATGAGGATTAATATCAAAAGACACTATAAATATAGAGGCTAATAATTATGTTTTTCACCATTAAAATTAGACCCACTTTTCTGTACATTATGTGAATTCTAAAAATAACCTGTATTTTTTTTTTTTGCAAATGGTATCTTTTATATATATATATATATATATAGAGTAAATGAACAGATTTGTGATATACATACATACATATATACATATATGCCAATGGGATAGGATGGCAAAAATCCAATGGGATAGGATGTTGGGCTTGCCATTTTGAAATTAATTGACCCAAACATGAAAAATAGTAATTGGGCTACGGGCCTTCCATCAACGGCCAGGAATTATCTTCAAACTAGCACGAATCCTGACCGTTCGATAATAGCCTCAGCACACACAACCTTACAAAACCCTAGTTCTTCAAAAGCCTAACGAAGCCCTAGATTTTGCTTTGGTTCCACAGAGCTTCCGCAGCCATCGTCAAAGTAAGTAGGCAATGGCTATCTGTCTTCCCGTTCAAATTTATGCTTTTACCTGTTAATTAATCTCGGTCGAAGAGTTCTGTCTTCTGAAAGCTTTACAAGTTTCATAGTTTGTTTGCGTTTTTCTCAATCCCCGATTAGCTGCAGCATATCTGGGTCTACGTCAATTTGATCGCGTTCATTGGTTGGTTTTTCATTTGATCTAGTGGTCCCTTGTGGTGGCAATGTGAAACTTTTCATATTTAACGTGAAAGATGGTAGCGAACATGTTAGTCTCTTGCTTAGAGTGGATGAGTGAATCTGCAGAAGTATTGTGGCCAATATATATCCATATACAGAAGTAGCCCTTGTTTACAATGCGTTGTATGTTTGTTTTCGAGGTATTTCTATGGGTTCTATTTGATTTTTCTGCTCCCTTGCCTGCGAATTTAAGAAATGCTTTATTTTTATTCACGTTTAGTAGAGTGGTGTATGATCGATTCCCCCGTTTTTTTTTTCACCTCATTCCCTGATTAATATTTTTATTCAGAACATCACTGCTTCAGATTAGTGAAACAAGCATTTCCGATTTCATCTTGTAAGAGATAGATAGTGTCTAATTTTTCCTTCGGTTCCACGAAATTAAGTTTCATCATATTCGTTCATAAACTTACCTTGTACTTTGTTTACTCTCTATAGAAATGGGTGAGGAAGTTAAGGCAATTGTTCCAGAGACCGTGTTGAAGAAGCGGAAGAGGGCAGAGGAATGGGCAGTGAAAGATGCACAGGAGACTGCAGCTGCTAAAAAGAAGAGGGCTGAGAGCCGAAAGCTGATCTACAACAGAGCGAAGCAGTATGCCAAGGAGTATGAAGAGAAGGTAGATATCAGTAGTCCTCTCATCATTTATTATTATCCTAATCTGTGGTGGAAGCTGTGTTTTCCTTACTGTTATACTTGTTTAATGTTTTTAGGACAAGGAGTTGATTAGATTGAAACGTGAGGCCAAGCTGAAAGGTGGTTTTTATGTAGATCCCGAGGCTAAACTATTGTTTATTATTCGTATTCGTGGGTAAGTATTTTTTGGCTATTTTTACTATCTCTACAAGTTCAAACATTATGGATCTTATACATGTCGACCATAATCTTTTATACAGTATTAACGCCATGCACCCAAAGACAAGGAAGATCTTGCAGCTCTTGCGTTTGAGGCAGGTACTACAAATGATATATAATCCTTGGCAGAACTTGAATTTCTCTTGCTACACCCTTTTATAATTTGAGTCCGGGATTTTAGCATTGGCTATGGCTCTTTGTAAAATGTGTTTTGTTTTTCGGTAGCTGCTGATATTTTAATGTTGTGATATAATTTTGTTGGGATTTAACTTGTGCATTCTAGAGACTAGATAGTATTCATAGACAATTTTAAGTTCCTTTATATATCCCATAAAGGAAATGTAGTCATTTTTGCCTTCCTCTGAAACAGATATTCAATGGCGTGTTTCTTAAAGTTAACAAGGCCACAATGAACATGCTGCACAGGGTTGAACCTTACGTGACCTATGGGTAAGCAGTTTTCCTTTGTAATTGGGTTGCTTCTGATGTTTCTAGCTTGATTCATTTTTTGAGTGTAATCCGGTCTTGTTTTAGGTATCCAAACTTGAAGAGTGTGAGAGAACTTATTTACAAGAGGGGCTATGGTAAGGTCAACAAGCAGAGAATTGCTTTAACCGACAATTCTATCATTGAGCAGGTCTGTATTTGTTTCCTTTTAATTTGAAATAGAAATTGTTTAACTATGCACGCTTCTAACCTGCTTTTATCACACCTTAGGCACTGGGCAAGTATGGAATCATATCCACTGAAGATCTTATCCATGAGATCATAACAGTAGGACCTCATTTTAAGGAGGCCAACAACTTCCTTTGGCCCTTTAAACTAAAGGCGCCTTTGGGTGGACTAAAGAAGAAGAGAAACCACTATGTTGAAGGAGGTGATGCTGGAAACCGTGAGAATTACATCAATGAGCTCATTAGGAGAATGAACTAGATTGTACCAGTGTTTGGTCACTAGTTAGTGGATTCAGTCTCTGTTTTGATTAATGGCTTTAGAACAATTTAAAATTCCAATTTTCTTCTCAAAATTTTGGATTTTGGTAATGATATTTTATATCAACGTGAGAATTATGAGATGCTTGTTGCAATTTAACTTGATGAATGCTTTATTATGTTTCGTGTTTTTGTCTTGAGTTCGTTTGTTCCGCAAATTGTTTCACCTTGATTCTCCTGTGTCGTTAAGTTCTGTTGTAGCTGTCATTATTACGTGGTCATAATATTTTGATGATCAAGTCCAAGGCCTAAACTTGAGAAATTGTACTGTTGCGACCTTGCCTCAATAGCTGATTTGTTTTATTTCCTTTTGATTCTTCAAGCTAGGGTTTGCCTTGGAATTCCAAAAAGAATGTTGATGTATGCGATTGGTATAACAGAATTTAAGGAAAAAAAAACTTTTTTTATTTAATTAAATAGGCGAAAAGAATGAAATGCTTTACCCCCAGCTCTCCTTTATAGCTTAGCTTCTTGCATTTCATTTACAAAGTAAAAAATCTTGGAACAATCACATTACATCAGATTTGAAGATTAAAGTATACAATCATTCATAGCTGGCCAAACAAAAAAAAAATGCAATCATTCGTTAAACAGAAAGCTTCATTGGCCGAGATTGATATTTTGATGTTCTTCATTTCCTCAGCATTTAATTCCAAAAAGCTTTGCTTTATTGGTGAATTTATCGTTCAGTCTGGTTCAAGATTGATAATTGCAACAAATCGAACTGACATGCAAACCCAACTTGTGGTGTCACTCGATGTTGTACTTGTACATCTTGTCCAACGAAAGCGCCATGTCAGATATTAGAACTGCGAGATTGGTCATTCTATTCTGTGCATATATTCTTAAATTATAAGGGCAAGCACTAATAATGAGGTTATAAGCAGAATTAAACGATGATTTCTCTTTTGTAAGGTAGCTTTCATGTCACTGTGTATGCTACAAGGGCATTGAAATTCCATTTTGCGTGTACATACATACATACATACATATATATATGTAAAGTTATAATCTAACGGGTGCAATTCAAATTACTTCAGGACCTTGAGGGTTTTTTTTTTTTTTTTGGATCAGAGTGCCTTTTCGTAGTTAAATCCCAACCATGTTCTTGATCATTCAGTTTTGCTTGTTTCCTATGTGCAGAAATACCCACCGATGAAAAATTTTCATTACACGACACAACACAATCATGTGCCCAGAAAATTTCAACTCCTGAAAGTATCGAAGAACCATGGGTTTCAGCTTTAATCATCCTATAATCACTCGAGTTTCCGAGGACCAGAGATACGATGATAGTAAATTAAAAAAAAAAAAAAAGATGAAATCTTTCTCGGAATCTGTAAAAAGAAGCATGATTTGCCAAAAGGCAATAATCATTTCGGATGAGAAGTAACTCGGACAGACAATATCTTTTGCGTTGCTGCTAAGCCATAATTTAGTCTGAAACAACAACCAAACGCACTGATATTCCTTGAAGGACAAGCAACCACCACACCAGCTCAGCCAGACAGGAAAGAATGCAGAAACTGTCTTCTATTGAATGCGCAGGATATATGCCTCAATTTCATATATTGTATCACTAACACTTAAAATTTTTTTCCATAAAAAAATAATAATTATTGAAAACAAAAGGGGACAACCCCAGGGCCAGTCATCAACAAAGATCGCGTCGTTCTGAATAAACCTATTTTGTAAGAACTACCAAGCAGACCTGTTTCCTGTGTCACATACCAATCTGCAGCAGAATGATCCCCTGATTCAGAATCAAAATACAATGGCTTCCCAGAAATAGAAAGTTCCTGCTATGTCCACTAATCCACCAAGGGGAATGCTGACGTATTACAATCTCTATAATGGAACAAATTTGCTCTCTTACCCTTGAACCTTGATAAAGATGGCGGTTCAACCCCAACCAGCTATGGTAATGTAGAATATCTCTAACCCGACCGTCCTTCCTTCCTGCCACCTATTCTAAATACTGGTTTTGGTTTCTCTTTCAAGTTCCCTAATTTACCTCCCTCGAGCCGAGGTGTAATCCTCAGAGGGTGTGCTTCCGTGTTGAATACCCATTCGTCCAATGAGATAACTGATGATGGTGAAAAAAGAAGATAGAGATATTTCAAAGTCTCAGCAAGAAAGAAGGTTTGCATCTTATTGTCCTTGACGCCAGTATTAACCTGAAACATGATTGGCAGCATATGAATATGCAGAATGGTTGACTAATGCAAACATATAAGCATTATGACTTGAGATGTGAAGTTGAGGCGTGCTTACATCCTTCAGTCCAACATATCCTGTTTCTACGCGTGAGTTCTTTTCAAAAGCTTGAAATATGTTCCAACCCCACTCTTGGTAGGTCTTATTGCCCGTTAAGCGCCACAGATAGAAGAGCGACTCAACCGTCTCTGGTCTCAGAATGTTCCATGATGTGCCCACACTCATGTCCTAAACAGTTCAAAATTTTAAAATCGTCAAGTAACCAGGGAAAGAAAAATCGAATTGCAAATATCGGTTGGACTAAAACCTAACCTGCCCATTATGGAAAAAATAGTTCTCTCCAGCCAATTTGGTGGGAGTTGATTGATAGAAGTTATAACATGTCCAAGCAAGCTGCAAAGTAAAGCATATATAGTCATTTCTATACTTGGCTGTTGAAACCTTGCATAAATCAGTGTGCAAATATCCGCTCCAGCTAGGGAATAATTCAGTAACCATTCTATTCATATTTCGTAATCACAGTACAAGACAGACAAATATAGCATCAGGCCAACATTGGATTCGGATCACCTGACTTAGCGATCTCGAAGTGAATGGCAAAGTGGGTATACAATGATGTTGTCATATTAGACACTAACCCTTTTTCTGGTCTAAAATTTTTACAGCCCCTTTCAATTTAACACAACAGCAATATCAAATTATCAATAATCATTTCAACGTGTTGGATAAAAGTCACTGTATACTAGAGAAAGAAGAAAGGAAAGCAACCGTGTATTTCTTCGTTTTTTCCCAGTGTTTGATGTGCAACGTCCTGTTTGCTGAACACACACTTTACCATCCACTTGTATGCTCATAATGTGTTTTAGAACTTCATAGTCATGGTGTCAGGTAGCAATACATAAATAAAATTGCTAACATCACAATTTGAAGCAAACCAATCATTTCTAAATTGGACTCACAGAAGTCATATCATTAGCCAGTGAGCTGTGCCAGTATATTAAATTAAAGGTCAAGGCCCAGAAGAGTCAGTCAACAGAATGGACCATGCAGCACTTATACCCATGAGCATTAACTAAGCTATACCTCTTCCGCAAGTGACAGAAACTTCTTAGAATCATCAGGACCATAACCAGATGATCCTAAAGCAACCATTCCTGGAGCAAAGCATGCTAGTTCATCCATCTGTATATCCACAATTGAAAGAAAATTCGTAAGCATATTCAAATCATCACATGTAAAAAATGGACGTGGCAATAACTGTAGGGTGGGTATACCTTGTCTGTCAGAGATCCCCCATTCTTCTCACATATATATGAAAAAGAAGATGGTGTTGATCTCCTAACCAAACTTACAAGACCTTTCATTGATTTCTCCCACATATCTCTGTTTTCAATATTCCAAAAAGAAAAGAAAAAAGATTGATTACAAAAAGCTTCTAATTGATTTTCTCCTCATTCAAACTCCATTTAAAAGGAAATTGTACCAGAAAGAATTGACCATATAAACAAATTTTCATCAATCTTAGGAAGTTGAACTCAGCAAATAATTGGAAACGTAATGCAGAAAATTTGATCAAGTATTCTTACCTGTAGAGTTTTACAGCTGAAGTTTTATTCCCCTGTATCCAAACTTTGAGCAAGTATTCATAAAAGCTGTAAGATAATTGAATCAATCACAATCAAGACAAAATTAACAAATCCATAGTATGATGATTGAATTTTACAATGCAGACCATCTTAAAACTGCACAACAATTACTGCACTTTATGTAAAAGAAGTCATCAAAATGTGTAGAACTTTAGAAAGTAAACCTATCTTGATTCTATGCCAATACCTGTCACCCATGGCACCAAAAGTGACGGGTGAGTAGGCTGTTCTTCCACTATGAGGATCGATGTAGATAGGAAGCAATCCATCATCAGGAAATGTTTTATTAATCTGTGTTATAACATTCTCCGCCTGAAACAGCAGGAGTATAATCCAATCACCACGTATCTTAAAAAAATAACCTCCATAAATAATAACAAATTACTAGAACAGTTAGTACTTGGGAACATTGCAGCTCAGAAAACTTCTATTTCTAAAAAATATCATTCAGGCTTCAAAACAAGCATAAAGGCAGCTAACAGCATAACTATAAACTATCTGGCAATGATAATAAATATTCTACATTATTATTCTTATGTGATAGAGAAAGAAGGGGTTAGACCCAATACTGTACATTATTATCACATGAAGGAAATTATAAATTCATCGTCCTTACATATACAATACCAATGAACAAACCTGCAACATCCCTACCCATGCGAAAAATGAAATAGAAAATATAGAATGTTAGATGTAGAACAAAAACCTTCTGCTGATACTTTGGGTCACCAGTCCTTTGGGAAAGAACAATAAATTCTAGTTGTTCAGTGCCAGAATCCGCCAAAATACTCTCACCCTTGGAACAAAAGAAAGAATTAAAAAGAATTAGATATGCCGACAAGCTACCTCTGGCATATGACGATACAGCTACAATCAGAAATCAGAAACTAATGCCTAAAGTGAAAAATCAATTAACCCAGGACTAAACAGACATAGACAGGCCCAGAATTAGCCACCACTGATGTCTGCATTCCAAACCAGTCACAAAAGTCATGACTCAAACAAATCCGCCAAAATGATAAACCAAATTTTGATTAAAAAAAAAAAAAGGAAACTACAGAAATAAATGCTGAGCCAATATGGTCATGCTAGCAGAATCAATTCTTGGCTAAAAAGAAATAAGACAAGCAGAAACAAAGGCATAGTTTCAACAAGCGAGCATCAAAGTTTTCAATTCTCAACAATCTGAGACTTATCAATGACCTCAAAAGACAGGTATTCTCTACAAGGACACACGCTTAAAAGTTAGATGAGAACTACTAAACTATGGAATCCTTAACATGAAACCAAATGTTTAGTAAAGGTGAACTGCACATATAGAATGCTAAGAGCATACCCCAGTCCAACTAGGATTGTGGGGATTTCCACGTGCCAAATTGATTATGTTATAAGGAATTCCGGTAGGTGTATTCCATGCAGGCAGCAATCTGTCTGCAATGTCTTTAGCCTTGTCAAGGAAAACTTTGTCTCCTGAGAGATCATATGCACTGAGGAGTCCACCAACAACTCTGTAGTTTGGTGAAAATAGACCAAAAGAAAAGATCAGAAACAGAAATTTAGTTATCCAGTATACACAGTGAAAGCTCCCAAAAATTGTTTAACAGAAAAGGAACCTCAACTGCAATGTAAACCTTATAAAGCAACCTTATAGTTGTCTCAAAAACGCTTGCTTCATAATCCTTGTTAAAATCCAGCGAGTTTGCAACCCATCTGTTACAGAATAATGTCTTAATATTGAGTACAAAAAAACAACCATGAGTATCACATTCAAGTATTAACAGATGCATATAACAAGCCATTGAGACCATCAAAAAAAGATTAACTATCTACTTAAATGTAAATAATCAGAAAGATTTGAGAGCTTTTAAGAAGTAAACAACAAGAAGAACAAGTCTTTAAAGAAGAAAGAGAAGGGGAAAAATATATGTCAAAAAATCAATCTACGGGAATTTAACATGTTAATGGTGCTTCCAAGAGAGTATATAAATTGATTTTCAATCAGAAACATTCTTTGAAAGAACAGGTTCACAGATAAATATATAGAGAGAATTTCTAATTTGTCAACACGTAAGCACCTTAACCAAATATAACTTACGAGACTAGCTCACACTATATATACTAGGAAAACATAAAGAAATTAAACATGCAAACAACTCAGTGTCATAGATTCAAGAGTTACACTCACTCTCTTGCTTTCTGAAACTGCTCAGTGAGACCCATAATGTATAATGTGTCAAGAGAATCAACTAAGGTTGCTCCAAGACCACCAAAGCTATCAACACCATTCTTTGATTGGGGCTGGTAGAACCAAGAAAATGAACTCAAAACCTTGAAAAGTATAAGATAAAACACATGGAAGATCCATAATATAGAATTTTAAGGCCATATATTTGATCGATGAATATATTTGCATGACCAAATTGAAACCTCATAATTTGGTCATTAATAACATTGGTAGTATGCAACCAAAAAAAAAAAAAAAAAGTACCCTCTCCTGGATAATGAGCTAAAAGGCACAACCTTGTTCTTTTTTGTTTCTTTTCTTTTCCAATGACATAAAACATAAACCACGAGTTTTGTCAATGTTATAGCAAAAAGCCATGAGTGAATCATATCCTAATCTGGAAAGACCTCATAAGTTCTACTTTGCAACCCAAAATTTGGATGAAGGACATACAAGAAGCCTGTAAAGGAGAAAAACATAAGAGCAATAACTATATAAAATTTTATTTGTATGTAAAGGAAATTAACCACACCTGAAGTTCATCTTGGCCCCATGCATATGTCTCATATGATCTCCAAGCATGAAGCATAGCTTCCTTTACTCTTTCCCTTCTCTGAATGTCAATGGGATCATCTTGTGTGACTTTATTTCCCCTAGTGTCAATGTTCTTGACCGTACCACCATGGGCATTTCTTAACTCTTCCATCTGAAATAAGTATTAGCAGAGAAAATTATGATCTTTTCAATAACGAGATACTATAATGCTCATCAAATTAAATAAGTAGGCATGTGCACTAAAGCAACTACAAGAAAAAGGAGTCACCAACTAAGAGCAAGAACTAAGGACATAGGAATACGTGAGACTGAATGGGAAAGAGAATTCACAAAGCAGGAAGTTAGTTAATTTGTCATGGTGGATTCAAATAAGAGATACCAAATGTATTAATAGTAAGGCCTTTTTAGTTCCACTTATTTGTTGTTTGCACTAGAGAATGAACTATGTATGATCCAAAAAGGGGAAAAAAAGAAAAAGACAAATATAAGATCACAGCGATTTGAAGTTAAAGACCTCAAGAGTCAAGACCAGAGCACAAGGTTAATCATCTTATCTTATTACTAAAACAAAAAAAGGAGTAATTTTTCATACCAGATTCTGCAAATGAGCCACTTCTGTCCGCAACTCCCGAACTTCAACCTGAATTTCACAGAAAAATTATATAATGGCAATTAATTGAAATTATTTTGATGCCAAAAATATTCAACATAGTACTACTGTCCCCGAAAATAAATCATGGAGGAAGATACAATGACAAAAAAGAAAGACATTATAATTAGTTGACATCTTAGCTTCATTAGCATTACTTGCAACAAGAAAGTAAAGATAATAGGCAAATAACCATAGAAACTTCATATGCTAATGCACTTTGATACAACACAATTTTAATCTAGGAAGCACGAGCTTGAACACTGTGACACAACAGAATATTAGGTGTCAAAATGCAACAGGAATAATCACATCTTTCCCAGCACAAGTATTTACATGTCATACACAGACACAACTCCATTTTGAACTATTTGTACCCTGTAAGTCTTAAGACCACTAAAAACTTAGTTAAAAGACTAAAATTGAAAAGGATAACAACTAAATCGGAACTTAATGGTTCCCCCAACATAAATCACAAATCAAATCCCTTTAGGAATAGGGACAGAGGCATGCTATCCGGTTTGTGTCAGATCAATCCTAATTATTTACGGTAAAATCCTACTCAAACATAATCAACGTCAAATAATACCCTATTCAACAAGTTTGAAACATTGCTCCAGTCAATGAATAAAACTTTTCTATTAATTTGTCATAATTTTTAGTTCCCACTGGTTAAACTAAACGCATGAATTGGTTTTCTGTAGCCATCAAACTTCTTTGTTTGCAACAAAACTAAGTGATTCCATAGCAACAATCTCAAAACATCTTTCGAACATATAGTTCACTATATATTAATTTTAAATTTTCTGCTGATATTTTCTCTCCACATTTTCAAATCGAAACCAGAGAAAAGCAGAAGAGCAGATATCTTCGTAGTGCCTATTAGTCCTAAAATGATCTGCTTCCAGATCCATTTGCAACAGCCATATCTTTAAACTCTACTTGGTAGCTGCTCAGATTTTTTAGTGCAATGTCTTAGTACCTTTAGGATAGCATTTTCCTCAGTCGCAGAGAAATGAAGTACCAATCATCAAGACTTAAAACATATGGAAAGACATTTAACATGAATAAGTTGAACAAATAGGGTATCAGAAGTCAACTATTAATTGTAGCCTTGAAAACGTGTGAAAGGGTAAAACTGGAACGCACAGCTATCCTAGCATAAACAGAGCTCTAAAACTTATTTTCATCCTAAAGTAAATTTGGCCACTTTCAATTTCTTCAATTTTAGATATTGAAACTTCCACATATAGTATCCTGCCATATGGCATGGTAACAGGTCAAGAAGCAATGTCCTGCCTCGCTTCTGTCGCCCGACAACAATTGAATATACTGCTTGCAGTCGATTTTATTGAACAGTAGACATCCAAAAACACTGAAAAGATCATGATCTCCAAATACAACATAGAATTCCCATAAAACAGGTGGCAACATGATCAACTTCAACACTCTGGCAGACAAAAGAATCAAGTTCCTTAATTATGCTGTAACTGAACAAGAATGACGATTAAAGTTGGAACGATGCATAACGCAAATTTTGAATTTTGTATTATGGGGCAATAAATGGAAAACCGGTCCAATTTTTTTAGCTCCAGGTAGTTGACAACTGCCAAAGAGCATCTTACATTTAGAATTGAGACTTTATACTAGCTTCTTCAACTTAGACAACAGGACTGTGCAAGCCAGGGGGAAAAATCACTAAAAAAAAGGAAGAAGATGAAGTAGTACCTCGTGTTCTCTGACTAAAGTTTGACGATCCCAGACAAACAAAGTGGCACAGACAAAGCCAATGAAGAGCAGAGCTAGACGCTTTGGTCTCTTGAGGTAATACAAGGGGTGGCAGTACCTCAACTTGTGACTCAATGATCTGCTACTTCTAGCCATTGCCAGATCTTAACCTCTCAAATTCCAAAACTTCGAAATCCAGAATCCCTCAACAAAGAGGGAACCCTGCTCTATCTTCTATAGCAGGAGCAGAACCGATCTAGCAAAGACCATAGACAGGAACGATTCAAGAAAACACACGAGTTAGGTGGCGTCCCCGTTTCTTGAAATCTACGATAGAGGAAGGAGAAGAGGCTCGCGGAAGAGACGACGGCAATTTTTTTTTTTTGGGGTTAATTTCTGTGGGGATATTTTTGTCTAGTATTATTGGGGAAGCCAAGTTGATGGACCAATCGAACAACTCAGAGAGTCACTACGTTCGAAAATTGCGATCGAACCATCACCCATAGCCGAAGGAGAAGACTACTTCCATGGGTCCCGTTTCCTCCCTCAGAAATGTCAAGTCCTTCAAAAATCAACGTAGAAATAGTCAGTCTTCTTCACAAGTCAACCCAAATCCAGACGCGTCACACTGTCTTCTGCAGCAAAAAATCAATTTGAGGCCCACTATTTTATGCGGAACCTTCGTTGGACTCTTGTCATCAACACGATTATTGAACTCGGCCTGCAATTCCTGTGAAGCATTTCTTTGTCAATACGCCCAATGCATTCACTCTCTTTCAAGTCGGTTCTTCTAATTCTAGTTGTATTGGTTTTGTTTTGTTTTAATTTTGATGCAAAGAAATTTGAGATTTTACAACTTTGAGAGTAAAAATTTAGTTGTAAGGGGTCAACTTATGTCTCTAAATAAAAATCTTTGTAGATAGTCAAGTATACTGCTTATATTTCACACACACACGTCTTTTTTTTTATAGCATTGTGATTGTTTGTTAAGTCAACTTACGTTTGTCAAACTTTGAGATGGTTAAACTTCAGGGAATCCGTTATAGTATATAATTTGGATATCTCAGTTTTATTAATTTAAAGAATTGAATATTTGGTTTTTCTTTAGCTAGACAATTTAGGGTACCGTTACACACTTGACTCTTTTGCATATGTTCAAGTTAACATGATGAACGTGTTGAGCAAATAAAATCAATTAGCATAAAAATTTGCTTCCCTAAAAATATTTTCATATGGGAACAAGACTATGAAAATATGTCTGACGCTTAAAAAACGCAGGATGACAAAGAAAAAGCTCTAAAGAGACATTGTAACTATAAATAGGTAGGTCACCGACACAGTAGTTGCAATGGGATTGAAGAAATGTTTCACTTTGTTCATAACTTATTATGTATTTTATATTAAATATATTGAATGTTAAATTAAGGCATTGTTTTAACACTTGCAGCAGCAGTTAAAATTGCATATCCATATCAATATCACCTGGTTACTTGACAAATTGCAAGCCGCAATCCAATTTTTTTAATGTCAATATACATATAAATCACTTGAAAAATCAAGTAAATACATTTGAAATTATTTATAATGTTAGTTAGGGGTTTACAAAAGTTAATTGTGAATTGCAAGTCAATCACTTATTACTTTTTTCTATCAATATACAGATAAATCATTTAAAAAATCTACTAAATATATTTGGGATTATTTGTCACATCAATTGATAATTTATGAGATTTAATTATGAATCACAAGTCAATCACTCATAATTTTTTGCTATTGCTTAGGAAATAAGCAAAAGATAGTTAGAAATTTTTGTAGTGTTAATTGAGAATTTATTAAAATTTGTTTTAATTTCAAGCCAATGATTAAAAGATAATTTGTTGCAAGTAAAGATGATAATTTGTTTTTGGATGTCAATAATTCAAGATCTATAATTATCATTAGTATTCTTATGAGGTCCCTCATTGTCATTTTCTCAAAAATAATATAAGTGGAGGTGATAAATTTGAAAATTACATATATACTAAAGGTACAAAAGGTGTGTCTTGCGTCATTTTCAGTGATACACTTTACTGGACATTACCATATAACACTACTCTCAAAATAGGGTATCAATATCAATAGAAAGAATAGTAACTTAAGGTTATTGGAATCAACAAGGAGATTCTGCCAAACAGATTGATCCACATACACTTATCAAAATGTGCATTTAATTAATTAAGCTTATATTTTAGAACCATCCTATTTTAGGTGATCCTGAACTCACTTGATTCAAGTGTACTTCCGGTGCATATATGTATCCCACATCTTCTATCCTTTTACTTTGCATTACTTGAGTAAATACCAACAAAATTAATATCATACAGAAGAGTGGTATTGCCTACTATGTTGTAGTTATCTATACAACTAGTGTCAATTTTGTCAATATGAAATGACTAAGTTTCAAAATAATGACTTGCTGCATTTAGTGGTGGTGGAGGGGATGGGGATGACGATGACGATAGTGATGGGGTGATGGTGATGATGATATGCAATATGTGAGGCTAAAGTTTTATTGGACCTTGATCATTGAACCAAAAAAATCATATCCCTCAATAAATGTGTTGGAATTCTAGAGATGGAAATGAAATTAGGATAAGAATTTGAATAAAGTGATGTTTAGTAGATATGAATTATAATTTTTATGAATCTTGATTCCATGAAAATGAGTCAAATTGGATTCTTCATTTAAAGCCATAAAATCAGGAGTAATTCTATAGAATTATAACTTTTAAGACAATTTTACCCTCTATAAAAATTTAAAAAGACAAATTTGCCCTAAAGACACATAACCCTAATCATACTCAAAATTGACTACTAGGCATGGCACAAGAAGTAAAGATGAGAAAGCAGTGGAAAGATTGATGAGAAGAAGGATGACGGACGATATGGTTTGGATATCTATTTTGGATTTCAAGACCAAGGTATGGCAATCGACTTCCCTCCTTTATCCTTTTTCATCTTGGATTTTATATCCCTCTCTCATCTTCCCTGTCTTTAGATGTGATAGCTTCTTTGTTAAGGTACTTCTTCTTCTTCTTGTTGGTGTAAGACGGTTCGAGCTTAGTCATAGTCCCTCTGGTGTGAAGTTGTATTATGTGATAGTTGAAATGCTTTATAGTCTCTTACGTTTGGTACCCTCTACTTTTATAAATTGATTTGCCCACTATAATCTTCACTTCAATGGAACAATAGACGGGTTAGAAAGTTTTTATTAGGATAGATAAGCTATTGTTTTGCTATTTTGCCTTGCCCCATTAATCCACCCTTAAATGTCATACAAATAATCTAGTATTTTGCCTCTGCCGATGAAAAGGTGGGAAACAAAAAGCAAAATAAGCTAGAAGTCTTCCTATGAGACAATCTCTAAGCGAATGGCCTTTCACCAAACTTATGAGAAATAAGTCTTCCTCTAGTGAAATTGGTGGGTTTTATTACATTACTCCCCTTCTTGTGTAAAATGTGCATGTTTCATTAACCAAAGATAAATATATCAAACTCTAACTATAGTATTCTAGAGTAATTGTCTTTCATTAGATATCTGGAAAATAAATAATTGCATGCCGAAATTAAAGATCTTCTAAATAACTCTTCAAGAAGGGTTCAATAGTATATTTACAATCATCTATTGATCTATCAACAAGCTATCTTAACAACTGACATGACCCTTCCACTTCTTTTGCTATAGCCTCATTTGAGATTATGTTTCTTCATTTTATAGGGAAAAAAAGGGTTACTAAATATGTTGCTTAGATGTCAATATATGTTTAGTTCAAGATGATTTGCTAGAGTTTCATGATTTCTAGTCTATGATGGTTTGCTAGAGTTTTATTAAATATGGGTTCTATGTTAGAATTTTATACATTTTTTTATGTTAATAGAATTTTATACATTAAAGTAGATCTTACCCTGTGATATTTGTTGGATGTTTTAGAATTTTTTAACCTAATATTTAATTTGTAACCTATAGTTATGGATCCAAAAATGAGAGATGTGATAGTTCATTTGATTATTTAGTGGATGTGTGTTCTTCACCTATATGTATCAATTTTTTTTTTGCCATTTGTACCGCTGTAGCCTTGCTTAGGAATCGTATTAGTCAAAGGCTATATATAGTAGACTTTTATGCTAATAGAGTCCACTTACAAAACTTGGTATATAGTAGTGACACTACTTGTTATAACCAACTTAGAATGAATAGAGCCACATTTGACAAGCTATGTCTTATGCTTAATTTAAAACCAACTAAAAACATGCTAGTTGATGAACAAGTGACAATGTTCTTACATATGCTTACACATTGTCTAAAAAATAGAGTTATACAATTTTATTTTGAAAGGTATGGTGAAACTATTAGTAGGTATTTTACTTTGGTCTTAACCTCTATGATGAAATTAAATCGAGAGCTTCTAAAAAAACCTGAGCCAATTGCTGAGGATTCAATAGATGAAAAATGGAGGTGGTTTAAGAAATTTCATATCTTAATTCACAACTTATATTAATGATATAATTTATTTATTCTTTTAATTAATTATTTGTCATTTCTAGTATTGTTTCGGTGCTCTTGATGGAACCCATATTAAAGTAAAGGTGCCTATGGCTGACAAAGTGAGATATAGAAATTGAAAGGGAGAAATAACCACTAATGTGTTGGAAGTTTGCTCTCTAGATGGACAATTCATATATGTCTTAAGGGGTTGGGAAGGCTCAAAGGTTGATGGTGGAGTTTTGTAAGATGCAATTAGTTGTAAGAATGGTTTGAAAGTACCTCAAGGTAATGTTAATTTATTTTTAAGTAATGATCAATATAGTAATGAGCTTAAAGTTAATTTCTTTTATTCTTGTAAGACAATATTACTTGGTTGATATGGGGTATGCAAATTGTGAAGGATTTCTTGCCCCATTTTGAGGTCAGCGATACTACTTAAGTGACTGGAGGGATGGACGACAGCCTTTAACTCCATGTGAGTGCTTCAACATGAGGCATTCATCTACGGGTTGTAACATCCCGAAATTTTAAGACTCGGATTTATAAAAATAAAATAAAATAAAATATCTATAATTAAATTAAAATTTGGAATAATTTGATAGAGGTCCAGAGTTTGAATTTTTCTAAGCAAAAGTTTAGTTTTATTTGATTTTTAACTATGGGAAAAATTACCAAAGTTGACCCGGGCTTTTGTGCAATAATAAAAAATGTTAGGCCATTTCTTGTAATTTTCCCTAAACTTTTAGATCAGCTTTATAAGGGAAAAGAGACGCAGAGAAAGGAAAGAAGAACAAAATGCAGAGAGAGAGAGAGAGAGAAGAGAGGAGAAAGGGAGGGAGTTAGGCTTGGATCTAGGAGTCTTTACGACCGTTGCGAGCTCGGCTACACGATAGGTAAACTCCCTACTTCAATCCTCTTCCCTTTCTCTTGATTTTCTTCAATTTTTGGAAGAGGAGATTTTTGGATTTTGATCCCAAAGGCTTTATTCTTGTAAGCTTTTGTTTCTTTGGATCCTAGGGAA